AATCTTTTTATTTATGGTACAGGGTCTCACTCTTTAATCTTTTTATTTATGGTACAGGGTCTCACTCTTTAATCTTTTTATTTATGGTACAGGGTACAGCTCAGACTCTAGTGATCCTTCTGTCTCAGCCTCCCCAGCGCTGGGATTACCGGCATGCACCACCATGTCTTGTTCCAGTGGCTGGTTCAGCAAGCCCAGCACAGCATGTGGTACTGGCAATAGAACCCAGGGCCTTGCGCTTGCCAGGCAAGTACTTAGACCACCAAGTATCTCTGCAGGGCCCCAGCATTATACTGTTAAATGGGGGAAAAAAGGCTACAAAACAGGAAGTATGACTTAATTACATTATTATTAGAAATAAAACATTCTTTTGTGGGTATAAAGATCTCTAAGTAAGCAAGGGCTTTTTATTTTTATCTGTATTTAGTACAGGGCCTACAGGGTTTTACTACACAGATCAGACTCGGAGTGATCCTCCTATTTTCAGCCTCCGTAACGCTGGGATTACAGGCATGCACCACCGTCCAGTCTCAGTCTGCCATCTCAGCGCACCCCAAGAATGAGGCCAGAACAGCATGCTGGGGATCGAACCCCCAGTCCCTGCACCTGCCTAAGCAGGCACTTTAGTCTGCTGAGCTATCTGGGTGGCCCAGCAAGGGCTTTTTTAAAAAAGAAAACTATCTATCACTAGAGACTGAACCCAGGTAGTGCTGAGGCTGAGCTACAACCCCAGACTTCTTTTTGGGGGGAGGAGTACCAGGGATCAAACTCGGAACCTTGCACTTGCTAGACTGGCACTTATGCCACTGAGCTATCTCCCGGGCCCTCTTTTGGTTTTTGTTTTATTAAGTTTGAAACGAGTTTTCATTAGGGTGCCTAGGTTTGCCTCAAACTTGACAATTTGGGTGCCTCAGCCTCCTGTGTAAACACAGGCATGGACCATCACGTGGAGTGAACAGGGGCTTTATCTGCCTTATTAATTGTTGTGTTCCTGGAATCCAAAACACAGAGTAGATGCTCAGTAAATATGAAATGAGTGCACATATAAATGAATGGATAACTACAGATTAGGAACACGAAGCTGTTTTAGGATGTGTGGCCAATCTGAACAGTGATTATATATATATTGTTTGTTTGAGACAGGGTCTTGATATGAGGTTCAGGCTGGCCTTGACTTCCTGATGTTTTTCTATGCTTTCTTTCTTTCTTTGTTTCTTTTTTTTTTTTTTTTTTTTTTTTTTTTTTTGGGGACAGATCTATAGGGTGTTCAGGGTCTCACTACTAGATCGGACTTGTAAGGGCTGGGGAGATGGCTCAGAAGAATAAGCGCTTGCCTGGCAAGTACAAGGGCCTGAGTTCAGTCCCTGGTTCCACCAAACATAAATAAATAAATAGATCGGACTCGTAGTGATCCAGAAGTTTACAGCCTCCCAAGAGCTGGGATTACAAGTGCACGCCATGCACCCAGTCTCAATTGCCATCTCAGCACATCTCTGGGGGCAGGGCCCAAGGGGGGGTGATCAAAATCCACTGAGCTATATAATCCACTGAGCTATTTGGCCGGCCCTAAACGTTTTAAAGGAGCACCTCTCATGCTTCTAATTGGGACAAAAAAACAATAAAGGCATTAAAAGGAAAAGTCTATGGCTGGGGTGGGCCTCCCTGGGTAGAATGCTAGCTTCAGGCAGGGACAGTCTCCCCCTACCACAGCTCTTCCCACCCAGGTCTGAGAGTGGAGCTGCTGAGTGGAAGGGGCAGAGGATTCAGGGATCACAGCCAGCCAGGAGGGAACAGGAGACCCTGATCAAGCCTGTGACCCGCCTGAGGTCACAGGGCAGTCCCAGGACGCAGAAGCCAGGCTTGCTCAGCTACAGCCTCCATTAGATCACCTGGACACAAGTAAAGTTGCTCACACTTCTTAATTCTATTTCACACACAATCAAACGGGGGCCCAGGGTATACAACTAGACAGACAGACCCAGGGGCGGCTCCTAGACCTATAATTAAACCTCATGGGCACCCCTCCCTCATGGAGCTCCAGCCTCCCTCTTTGGCGTGGGGTGGGACTATCAGGGTCAGACCCACAAGCTGCCTGCACAAGGCAAGGTCCTTAGGATCATGACAGCCAAGGCTGGCTTCTAGGATTCTTTCTTCCCCTCCCCGCCAGGGGAAGGTGTGAACGTAGTCCCCCCTCACAAATTACGCAGTCGAGTTTCCCACATTGCTGGAAATCACCAGGGTCAGCACATTCAGAGTACAACAGATAAGCCTCACCCTGGGAAAACCACCTTCGTAATCATGGTATCTCCTGGCAGGTAAGTATGGCTTTTGGGATTCTCAAGTCAGTATCAGCAGCCTCCTGGAGTGGGTGTCCTCCAGCCCCATAGCATAGGGCTAGAGATCCACAAATATCTACGAAGCCCCCCAGGCAGCCCCTCAAAGGCCTTCCACTCTTGGGAACAGAACAGGTAGAGTCTGGGTTTGATTCTGACTCTGCCACTCAGGAGCTGTGTGACCTGAGACCAGCATTTCACTTGTTATGTTCAGGACTGAAGGCATTGGCCACTGTGGTCACTGCATGTCCGCACCATGACCCCACCCCTGCCCCTCCAGCCCACCCCCTGGCAGTGGACACAGATCAAGATCAAGCCACATATCTAGATTTCCCCTCAGTGCCTCATGAGCTCATAGGTGGGGCTTTGGGAAGTGACTAGATCATGGTTGAGTGACACTGAATCATGGGTGTGTGATTCTAGATCTATCCACTGACTGGTCTAACATAATCCTGGGTGTGGACGACGGGCTTACTAAAGAGGGAAGGCCCACCCTGGGTGTGGGTGGCACCAACCAATAGGTTTATAGCCTAGATGGAATAAAAAGGGAAAGAAGAAGGAAGACATGTTGGCTCCTGCCTGCCCTGGGCTGATTCTTCTCTGCCATGACACCCAGCAGCCAGCTAACTATGGACTGAAACCTCTACAAACTGGGAGCTAAAATAAACCTTTCCTCCTGTAACTTGTGGGTACTAGATATTTTGTCCCAGCAATGAGAAAGTAATGGCTATCATCAAGAAACCAAATAATAACAAATACTGGCGAGGCTGCAGGGTAAAAAGAAACCCTTTTGCATTGTTGGTGGGAGAGTAAACTAGCACAACCACCACAGAGAGCAGTATGGGGATTGCTCAAAAAACTAAAACTAGAAATCCCATTTGACCAAGCCATTCCTCCTTAAGGTATTTTCCTGCAAGAGTTAAAAGTCATTCTACGACAGTGATACACGCATGCCCATGTTTACAGGAACACAATGTATGGCAGCTAAATCTTGGAAACAGCTTATATGCCTATCATCAGATACATGGACAAAGAAAATGTGGTATGCATATACCACAGAATACTATTCTGCCATAAAGGAGGAGAGACTTCAGGCATTCGTGGGAAAATAGATACACTTCAAGACAATGTTGTTCCATAATTTTTCTTCTGTGAGAAACCCAAAGTGTAAGTAAAGAACAAAATATTAGATAAAGGATAGGAAGCAGGGAGATATTTCTCAGATGAGAAGGGGAATAAAACATGGGAGAGGGAAGAAAGAAAAAGGAAAGTGAGTTTAGAAAAGGGGGGGTGGGGAGATTGCTCAGTAAATAAGTGCTTGCCCAGTAAGCGCAAGGGTCTGAGTTCAATCCTCAGTTCTGCAAAAAAAAAAAAAAAAAGGAATTGAAGAAAAAAATGGAAGTAGAGGGGCCAGGGAGATAGCTCAGTAGAATAAGTGCTTGCCTGGCAAATGCAAGGGCCTGAGTTCAATCCCCGGTTCCACCAAAAAAAAAGGAAGTAGAGCATTTGCACCTGAGGGGACAAGAGTTGGAGGGAACAGTGAAGGGTGGGAAAGGGAACCAAAACCACAATTAATATGTGTTATGTACATATACAAGCACCCAATGATAAATGAAACCATTATGTACTGCAAATATATACTAATAATTTTTAAAAGGCTATTACAGTATTTCCTGGAATCCTATGCAGCCATGAAAAGGAGCAGAGTACTGATCTGCATCTTCTCCTGAGAGAACCAAGAGGCATGGTGCAGAGGGAAGGAAACCAGGCCCACAGGCTACATACTACGGGTTTTCCTGATCAAAAGGATAGGGCCAGGGCCAGGCCCAGTGGGTGAGGGAGGGGCTGGCAGGAGCACAAGGGCCCTGTTCAGAGCCCAGCTGAGTAGTTCAATGGCCAGATGTTGTTCCAACTTTGTAGAGCAACATGGTGAAAAGCGAAACTTTCTACTGTGTGTAACATTTGTTAAATGAAAATATCACACGTAATTCAAACTTCATTTTACCATCACACTTCTAGGTTTGAAATTTTCAAAATTAAAAAACAAAACAAAACAGCAAAGATGATGTCCCTAAAGATATCTTAGTAGAAAAAGCACTTGCCAGGCAAGTGAAAGGTCCTGAGTTCAATCCCCAGTACCGCAAATAAAAAAATTAAAAAACTAAAATCTTCGCGTAACTTCCTCTCGGTTCAGGCAAAGCCAAAGGCTCCTCAATGTGCTCCTCCATCTCTTGGCCTCATTCCACCTCTGCCAGGTGCTCCCTGTCCCAGCAACAACAGTCTCCTGTATTCTTTACACATACCCCCGGGGCTTTGCACCATCTGTTCTCTTCGCCTGAAGTGCTCTCCCTGTGCCACCTGGCCCATTCTTTTACCTCCTTCAAATCTTTCCTAAGAACTCCTCTGCTCTTCTGTGGTCTGTCAGGCCTGCTCCATTGGAAATCCTGAGCTTCTCTGAGAGCACACCCATCGCTCTCCGGGTTCAGTCTCCCTCCAGGCTCTAGTCTCCAGCTGACCAATGCTTCCTTTGTTTCCTTCTCCCTCCCCTCTCCATAGAACAGTGAGCTCTGGAATGGCAGGGAGTTTTATCTACTTTGTCCACTGTTGTATTTTCTTAGAACAGTGACTGGCACACAGTAGGTGCTCAGTGGTTGCTAAATGAATTCAAGACAAGTTGGATAGATGGTGCCTCATATGTATGGCCTGGGAGCTTTCACCATGTATTCATTTGGCAGCCCCAAGAAATATTAATTGCTCATTTTACTTATCTTTGTTCCAGGCTTGTATAGGGTTTAAGCACCTCAACAAACTATAAGAGATCCTAAAAGTAGGGGCGCCTAAGACAAGGAAGAGCCAGGAATGTAGCTCAATGGCATAAGTACTAGCAGGTCTGAATTAGATCCGTGGTACAAAAAAAAAAAAAAAAGACAAGGAAGAGCATGGCTCCCACCTGGGCTGCGCACACACGCACGCACGCGTTGGACAGGAATCCCCATGGTCTAGGCTACCAGGGGACAGACGCTATGTAAGTAAGTGTCATGGCAGAGATGAAAGAGGTAACATTTGGGCAATGGCACATGCAAAGTCCCAGAGGTGGAATATGGCAGCGCCTGTTCATGAAACTTCTGAGACCATGTTCTGGCCTCTCCACTCACATAAGTTCTTGGGTGACAGAGAAGACACCTGAGACACACACCCTGGGAGGAGGGCTTATCTCCCTTGCTCAGGCTCACACCCAGCCATGACTCAGCAAAGAGCAAGCCCCTCTCTGACCTCTGGACCCTTTCCTGTCTCCCTGTCTATAAAGGCTCACCTCAACCTCATCCCCAAACTCCCTAATACAGTGATCTTTTAGGAGAGAATATTCTCACTTAATATATTTCACCAAGGACTCATAACAAAGCACCTAGAACCAAACAATGAAGACAACTTCGGGGTGGGGATATAGCTCAGTGGCACATCACCTGCCTGGCAAGCTCGAGGTCCTGAGTTCCATCCCCAGTACGTAAAAAAAAACAACAGCAAAAAAAACACCTCCAATAAGTCAAAAGCAGCCAGTTAAACAGAAGACCCAATGCTATTATGGGCTACTGGACTCTTTTAGAATATTTTGCTGAGTTTACACACCTACAATATTCAATAACGGTGGGGCTGGTGAGATGGCTCAGTGGTCTAAAGCACTTACTTAGAACAAGCTAAGCAAAGCACAGGGACCGCGGTTCAATCCCCCAGCACCACATGCCAGCCAGCCCTGCCCCCTGGTGGGCTGAGCTGGCCACACACACACACACACATAA